TGTATGTATGTATGTATGTATACCGATCGGTCAATGTAACATCTTTGGGATATGAACTCAATCTGCAGGTCATTGCAATCTTGACTTTCCTGCTAACAACCAGTCACATGGGGCACTTTAGCGCTGACTGGAACTACGCTCGCAGGACCTTTGCGCATTTGGTAGGCATGTTTGTTTGCATGCGTTAGAGCCGTAGGACGGAGGGCTTAGATGCCTGCCGCAGTGCTGCTGAGGCTACCGCGAGCCGAGGTGCGAGAAGGACCTGCGTTTTTAAGCTGCATGGCGAATGCTTTTGTTCATTTTCGATCTCTTGGTCTATCTTTTTGTCTCAAATCATACTTGTTTGGGGCATGGCAGGACCGTCCATTGAGGCGTACAACTAGCATTCAACACAACCTCCGGGATTTTGGCTGTGGGGGTCTTTGCTGAGGCGATAGGGGTCCGGCGATTCTGTTTCGAGTGATTTTCGGACCTAATGGTTTCAGGAGGGATGGGCTTAGGGTTTAGAAAGCCTAAGGTCGTGATGCGAGTAGTGCTGCTCTGTCGTCGCTGCCCGATAAAAGCTGCTCCGAATTCAGTTTTACTAGTTCCAAAGCCATTCCCAACATTGCAACTGTCGACAACCAGATGAAGAGGAAGGAAGTTTCTTCGAACTGAGTCTCTATCGGAGCTTGTCTTGCAGTGGCAACTTAATGCCAGTGGGACCAGGGAATGCTGGGTTCTTGTTGAGGGATTCAGTACACTGAATTACTGCAGGTTACCACAATATCTCTAGTCTGATTGTGTCATGAGGTTCGCTCACACGACTCCATAATGAGGAATGGCAAGAGTAGCAAGAGCCAGAAGATGCTAGCAGCCAAAGCAGAATGCTGCACCTGCAGGACTCTAGTAGGCAACTAGCCACAATTTTGCAAGAAGACGGGTACATGTAGCAATGCAGCAATCGTAAGGCCGTCGTAAAGTAGGTGCGCAATGCAGAGCAATGTTGCCAGGCCCAACTCTGAATTCAAGAATTTCTTCCAGCAGTCTGATGTCCCATCCCCTTCAAACAGACATCCTGCAAACGGTTGCAGACGGACCAGTTAGTGTCCACCCATCAGGCAGTAAGCAAAGCCTTGCCCGTTCAAGAGCCGTGCTGGCAACAAAGTTTGAGGGGTCTAGGGCATGGGATCATTTCAGCCTCCTTCTGATGGGATGCAGACCACTTCGGGCCACTGCTTAGCTAAGGCTTAGCAAAGCAATGCCAGGACAGGCGAAACTACCGCGCCGGCAGGGGACACATGCTGTTGGGACCTTAGCCTGGCCTTGCAGGGACTAAGCACGGTGTGGTCATGCACAGTCCTTAACGGCATGTGAGGTACGCTGGGTTCAAGCTTTGTCAAGTGTTTAGAGTGTCGGGGGCTGCAGGTTTAGGTTTAGAGGCGGCAGCATCTGGGGGTGTAGGGCTTTTCAGGTCTCAGCGTCTTGGGCTTTGGGGATGGAGTGTCGCGGGCCTAGGTGGTCGAGGGCATGGGATCCCAACACCTCGCAGAGCACGGGATGCCTGATAAGCCTACTTGGAGGATCATGGGACTTAGTAAGTAAGGTTATAAGTATCCTTATTGGGGTTATAAGTATAGTTATCTTAATTATAACCCTAGTTACTAAGTCCCATGATCCTTTAAGTAATATGGGGGTCTTAGTAATGTCCAATACTAGCCCTCTGGGTGCCCCCAGCATAACTATGCATAGCTACCGATATTGTTCCTTAGGGCTCCGTGGTACAATTACGAAACGTTTGTCATGCTGTGCCTCAGGATTCCTTGTTTTAATGTAATTGTGCGTGGCTAGTGATACCATTGCTTAGGGTGCCTTAAATACAGATTACATCATACTAGTAGTTAGGGATACCCTTCCCTGGGGTTCCTTCATATATGTAGTTGTGAAATTTTCTGAATGGTGCTTGAAGGGCTGGCCTGGTCCTGTTTTTACACCAGGCTCTCACTAGACCCCAAGCTACAATAACAAACACACGTTCTATACTCTGATTACTATGGTTTTCAGGCTTCGCCCTATTGAAACCTTGAGCCTGAAACCCTTATTCTCGCCGGTTTTGGACCGTTGCCACCGAAGGCTCCGAAGCTCTGCAGCTGGCGCCCCCAAAACAGGGCACTCAGCTTGAAAGTTTAGGGGACTTAGTCTAAGACTTAGTAAGTGAGCTCATACATCCCGAAACCCCAACTTGCGTAATTAGTCTGAACCTCGAAACGGATCTGATGAATGGAAACTGATCTATTGTAGTCTTCCGCTGTTTCACGCTGATAATCTTTCAAGCACGGGGGGCTTGAGGGTCGCACTTTAGAGAATTCGGTGGTGTGTTTGAGTATTTAGTCTCGAATTACAGAGTTGTGCTGGGGAGCATAGAGTCCTTCATTGCTAGATTGAATTTGGGGGGTTTGCTTTCCTGTGCTGCTGCGAGGTCGATGTTCGAGTGGCTCCAGGTGCAACCTCGGTCGGCAAATTCCGCGTTCAGTCAGTGGTCAAGCTAAGCACATAGAGCATACCTGGTCTGATGTGGCTTTTCGTGGTGGGTACTTGAACAAGGAGAGCATACTTGTGTTGGGATTTCTCGAGCGCCATCAACGACGACTTCATCGGAAGAGCCCCCCAAGCTCAGACTCATAGTCATAGTCTCACCGTATCAGTCGTGTCCACAGATCCTGTATACACACACACATATATATACAGTTATATATATATATATGCATTCATGTTTATATGTGCAGTAGTGTATGTTTCTGTATATCTGCACATACATGCATACATACACACATGTATATATATATATATATATATATATGTATATGCATGTATAAGTGTGTGTATGTGTATATATGTACATATTTACCTATATATATATGCATGTATAAGTGTGTGTATGTGTATATATGTACATATGTACCTATATATAGATATTAATATATATTAATATATATTAATATATAGATATATATATGTATATATATATATGTATATATGTATATATACGTGCGTAAGGAGGTCGGGATATCTGTAGGTATGTATGTAGGTATGTACGTTTGCATGTATGCATGTACGGATGTATGTATGTCTGCGCGTATGTGTGTGCGTGTGTAAGTGTGTATGTGTGTTAGCGTATGTGTGTATGCCTGGGTGTACGTATGTATACGTATGTATTCATGTATGTCTGCATGTGTGTGTGTATGTACGTATGTATGTATGTATGCATGGTTGTATGAATGTATGGGTGTACATAAGTATGTATGCATGTATGTGTATATGTTGTATGTAATTATGCATGCATGCATGTCTGTCTTGTAGTGCATGTATGTATGTATGTATGTGTGTATGTAGGCATGATTTTTTTTGTTTGGATGTGTATGTGTGTATGTAGGTATGTATGTACTTACGTTTGCATGTATGTGTGCTTGTATGTTTTTTCCTCGGCGCAGCTGTCCTGTCCCTGCAGAAGATTCAGCACACTTCGTGGTAACTTTTGTGATGTCGGATTGGAGCTTCGTGGTTTGCTGTGTGGAGAAGAAAGCTCGAAATGTTGATCCCTGGCCTGCCGCACAGATTCGCGAGATGGAGAGGCGATCTCCCAAATGCAGACAAGAAGCTGACCCGGCTGGACGCCTGCGGCTCAGCGGCTTCGGCTGTTCGAAGGATTGGATGGCTTAGCAGTACTGGCAAAAGGTTTCTTGGGTGGCCGAAAACTCGAGCTCCAACGTCGCTTCTTACAGTCACACTCTTGGCCTTGGCTCCCTAGAGGTGCCCCGACGTTCCTTTCAATGTCGAGTTCTCCGACGCCCAGCTCTTCGATTGCACTCCGTTGCCAAGCCATGAAATCACCCTGAAATTCAAGGGGGGTGGGAGGTTTGAACATCACAGGGCAAGGGATTCTACAGTTGGATGCATCCTTCTGTATGCGACGCCGGGGAAAACGAGGTTCTGCTCAACTCACTGGCGTGTGCCCCTTGCCATGGTGCCAACCAGTGCTATAAGTCCCCTGATATCGTCTTTGTAAGTAAGTTACCCTACGGCCATCCATCGCGACAACCTCGTGCTGAAGGCAACTTCTGGTGCAGGGTGTGTTGCTTCGTCAGGCAACAGACGCGTGGGTTCGATTTAGCATCAGACCGTGAAATGTGGATTTCTGATTGCAGTTCTTGTGAAGAAACAATTCCCAAAGCCTTATTCTCATCGTAGTATAGGGTTGTTAAGGATCCAGGGTCCCAAAATAGATGAACAGCTTTGTATCAAGGCATGTTGTGGGGTCTCAGGTTTGGCTTAAGGCTTAGAGGTTTTGGGCCGTCGTCGCAAGGATGCGCAGGAATTTCTGAAGGGAGCCCCGAAAGACCATGCAGGTCGTGCCTTCTCCCGCAATGCAGCCAGCACCCACGAGAATGAGGCGGTTGGAAAAATCGGCGATGCAGCACGTTCTTGTCTTCCCTTCTGCACATCTGCAGTACGTGTGTTCTTTGCGCATCTTGCCGTGTATGCTTCCTGCGTGCATGTATGTATGCATGCATGCATGAGGTCGGGTGGGCGGTCGGGGCACGCACACAAGCGACTGTACACGTATCTGACGTGCTGCATTTGTGACGTGGCCCCGGTGTAGGAGGTGACAGGATTTGTTGCAATACTTGTGAGCAAACAAGCACGGGGCTTCGTGATGATGCCGCGCGAGAATTGCCATGCCTGTATTGAAAAAGACGAGGGACCGAAACTCCATTGCTCCACACAGTGCTACGACGCGGCATGAACTGTTTCGGCTGAATATGCAGGTGATTAGAAATGGTGAGGCTTAAATTCTGTTTAGGGTTTACGAGTCCAGTGTGGGGTCTGGAGCGCTATGGCAAACATTAGCAAGACAAGAGCAATGAGTTGTTGATTGAAAGGCTCGTTGCATGAAATGATTGTGCAGCCATTTTTCGTCGAAGAGCTCGTAGCGCCACTTGAACACTGCCCCAGAGGTCAAGATGGCGACATCCTCTGTTTCTCTGGGCTTGAGAAGAGGTTTAGGGCTGCCGAACCTTAAACCCGAAGCTTTATGCCCCAAACCCGCACTCAGGAGCCCCCAATTTTCTACTGGGCCCAAGCACCCGGATTCCTAAAGCGGTCAAGCCACGTCCTTTGCTAGGGTTTGGGCTAGTTTGGGGTTTTGAGATTCAGATTCTCAGGTCCTTGCGGTGTTATGTCTTCAATACAAACATGACAATACAACGAAACAACCCTTATAGAAGCCGTGGTAGAACGTGTACATATCCTAAACTTGATTTCCCCTTATACCTGCACCCCTCAATTTTAGACTCTTTCCGCTAACCCGAGACCCTAAACTCTAAACACCATTACAATCAAAGAGCCTATACTCGCTCCGACGCTTCCTGCTGTGCCCGGAACACTCTTTTGGGATTAGCTGGTCATCTAGGGCTTTGTAGGTTTTTCTAGCGGTATATACTCTCTCTCTCTCTCTCTCTCTCTCTCTCTCTCTATATATATGTATATATATACATGTATCATCTGTATGTGTGTGTATATATACGGTGCCTGGCCTGCATAATTCTTGTTACTGCTTGTTCCGGAGAGTCGATCATATGGGCAATTTGTGTAGTATGCTCTAAAGCCTTATTCTAATTGTGAGAGCCCATGCAATAGAACCTTTCAACAGGGTTTCCAGACGATTCTGAGGTTTTGGGTGCAGAGTTTCGGCTTAGCAGTTAAGGTTCCAGGATTGATGGTTTTGGGTTGACAGGTTGGTTGTCGACCAGGAGTTTAATTTCAACAGACCTGAAGCAGCCAGATCCGATCATGGACTCTGTCTTGGAACCATGCACCTGGTCCTCAATCGATTCCCTAATATTCATGGCCCTAGGCTCTAGACCTAAACCCTTGAATCCTGCTCCCTAAACCCGAAAGCCATTATAAGCCTTCATACAGCAAGCTCCTGAGAAAAGATTCAGTTTATATTGTTTTCGGGATGTTCAGGGCTGGCGAGGTCGCTATAAGTTCGATCTGCCTTGGTAGAGCAACCTACACCGCCTCCTAGCCCTGCACTGCAACCCCTATAAGTGATAAGCTCTCAAGCCTTTGCGCCTCAGGGCTGCGCAGCCGCCATACAAATTCCAGTTTCCTGTGTTCAGGAGTCCATGTTGGCCCGCTGCCCTAAACGCGGTCCCGAGCTTGAAGCCTGAGCCCTAAACTCAAAGCCCTATAAACCCCTACAGCCTAAGCCCTGGACTCTAGACCCCAAAGCCCCACGCCCTAAGCCCGTAACTGGGTTCTTGTTAAGGAACTTAATTTCAGTTACCATAATAAGGAAACCCTATTATTTACGATAGATCGCTATTATGGTAACTTAAATTAAGTTCCTTAACAAGAACCCAGTTAAGGCCCACTCCATGTTTCGAAAAGGCTCTTCTGCGTATGTTGGCTGCTCTGGGAGTCGCAGTGGCCGCTGAGCCGGGGGGCCCTGGGGGGCTCCTTTAATCGGAGGCCTCAAAAGGTGGGATGAAGGTAGGTGGGATATTCCCAAATAAGAGTCCTTATATAAGGGATCCTTCATCCTACCTACCTTCATCCCACCTTTTGAGGCCTCCGATTTAAGCCTTGCGTTTAAGGCGAGGGGTTGAGGATTCCTTTTATGGAATCGGGTTTGGGGTTTGGGGTTTAGGGTTTTGGGTTTGGGGTCTATAGGAATGGGTCCCAATAAGTCTTGACCGAACATTTTGACCGAGAGCGGCAAGACGCAGCAATGCGGCAACGCGCTTGTCCAAGTATGCAACGTCTATCCATCTTTGGTTTGAGGGTTGAGGGTTCGGGTTCTTCAACGGTTGTATAGTGGGTTCTTATATGGGAGTTTCCGAAAATATGGGATCCCAACATAGTACCCTAAATAGTATCATCCGTATTATAAGGACCCCAAAATAAGGTATACTTCATTTTCGGAAACTCCCAGATGTGTTTAGAATTCAAGGCTTTGGCTGCTCTTTTGTGGGAAGTTTGTAGGAGGTTGGAGAGGCGCCGCATTGACTGGCTACTTGGAGGATCATGGGACTTAGTAAGTAAGGTTCTAAGTACCTTAATTGGGGTTATAAGTATAGTTACCCTAATTATAACCCTAGTTACTAAGTCCCATGATCCTTTAAGTAGTTCAGAGTTCAAGGTTTAGGATTTAGGTTTCAGGGTTTAGGGTTCAAGGAGTAGGGTTCAGGGGTTAGGGTTTAGGGTTGAGGATTTAGGTTTCAGCGTTTAGGGCGGCGGTCTAGGGTTTCCGTTTAGTATACTACTATTTGCTTAAGGACCCCCCAAAAAATATATTCCTTATGGGGGTAATATAGGGATTATTATTTTTATTTTTTGGGTGTTTCTTAAGCAAATAGTAGTATAGGGTTTGCGGTTTGGGGATCTCTGTTCCGCTTGGGCCTTGAGATTTGAGCAAGGCCGATTAAGGCTCCTCAACAGCGCATAAACTCCTTTCAGGTAAAGCTGAGAAGCCGCAAACGCCGAGCCCCGAAATCCTACACCTGCCCTAACCTACCCTGATTCTGGTTTGAATACTAACCTACAAACAAGTAGGTTTTGGTATGTTCACGTAAACCCTCACCCTACCCTAGGTGTTCACTTTGCCAACGAGAAAGCTCGTACACAAGACACATACATAGTTTTCAACTTTGGTTTAGTTTAGGGGTTTCGGGTTTTAGGGTTCAGGTGCTGGAACAAAAGACCTTACTTGCACGCGCACAACCGAAAGGAAACTTTCAAGGCCGATGCCAAGGAGAAGATTCATGCCTAAACCCTGAACGCCAAAACCCCAAGCCCCCAAGCCGTTAAATTCCTAAACGCCTACACCCTGGGACCCTGCACCCACACTATTTCACAACCCCTGCAGCAAATCCCAGACCCTAAGCCCGAAGCCCAAAGCCCAAGCCTCAAGCTCAAAGCCCAAACCCGAAGCCCTAAACCCTAAGCCCACAAAACACGGAGCCATTAAACCCAAAGCCAAAACCTCAAACCCTATGCCCTAAAACCCTAAAACTCGAAAACACTAAACCCTAAACCTCTAAAACTCTAAACCCCCAAACCCTAAAACCCTAAAACCCAAACCCTGAAACCCCAACCAAGAATCCTCCCTAGGCCGGCAGTTTCGGGGCTAGAGGCCGGCAAGGCAAGGCCCCCCCTTTCTCAGGGATTCAAGTCTGGGGGGTTGTCAAAATTAAGGTCCCTTTATGGGTCCTTATTATAATACAGTAGAAGCCAGAAAGTTGGAATATCATTATCGTAACCCCTTTAAGGTAAATTATAGAGGATCCTACCATTAATCCATATTCCAACTTTCTGGAGTTCCCTTTACGGCACCTGATATTTAGGGTACGCAAAAAAGGGACCAGAATTTGGACATCCACCTAAGTGAGCTCGTTGGGTTTGGGAGTCTAGGGTTATTCTTTTAAGGGATCTACAGGATTCCCGGAAAGGTTTCGGGTTTGCGCGTCGGTGCAAGCCTCAGGGTTTCGGGTTTTGGGGCTTCGGGTTTAGAGTTTAGGGGTTTCATGGGGTTTAGAACTTGAAGGGTTTTCTTCAAAAGGCTCCCCTTACAGGGTTCCGCTGTCAGGGTTCATTGTCATATAGGCTCCTTAAAAGGGTTCAATTCGGTTTCCCAATGTTGGGCTGTTTGTTTGCAATTTTTTGGTAAACATTAGGTGGTTTAGGCCAAGGTAGGGCTAAGGGTCTTAAGGCCAGGGGAGGGTTTCACAGAGGGGGTGGGTGGGTCTTTACTGTATTCAAAGTTCTTGGAGTGTTGGCTTTTGGACGCAAGGAGCTGGGGCATGGGATTTGGGGGGGTTGCAAGGCCGCTTGTGCGGCCCTGAAGAAAACCAATGAATCCAGAAGTTAAGTACAGTTAAATCTTGATTTAATTGTCCGGTTTTGACATACCTTGGACCTTCCAAAGACACAATTAAATCGGGTTGTAATTGTGTCGGTATGCATTTCTCTAATAAACAATTAAGTCATGAGTTTACTGTCTCCTGTGTGCTAGTATATTCTACCAGAGACTTGTGTGCAATACGCTCGGGCGATATCACATTGAATCATGATTTAATTGCAGAATTTGGCGTCCTTCTGGGTAACCACCAGTAATGTAGTTGGTTCCTATCACGGTCCAAAGACTTATATAGCCTAGATAACTCGATCGCCACACTAGCGGGAATCCAGGTTCAATCATGATCTAGTTGCCGAATTCGTCCTCCTTGGTAACCAGCAGGAATGCAGTTGGGGTTACTATCACGGTCCAAGGAATTTTAGCTTAGATGAGTAGATCGCCACAGTAGCGGGATACCACATTAAATCATGATTTATCTGTGCAATTTGGCGTCCTTCTTGGTAACCACCAGTAATGTAGCTGGTTCCTATCACGGTCCAGGGAAGCCAGCCTAAATAACTAGACTAGTTTAGTCTAGTCTACTCGGTTCTAGTCTGTAGCCTACTCTAGTCTACTCCAGTCTACTCTAGTCTCGTCTAGTCGAGTCGAGTATGATCACGCCTCCGCCTTGCCTGCATTCATCTCTTTGGGGTCCACTCGTCCACCCATTATCATTTCCAACGCCATGGACCGCGTTTCGATGCCACCGAAGCTGTCCTCTGAAATTTTCTCTTGCTCAAGATCTTGCTTCTCCTTTTCGGGCTGTCATCTACCATGTCACCGACCATTGCTTGCTGTAACAACACAGTGCCTCTTAGGGACGCGTCCCGTAGACACACCTGCACACAGTGCAGTAGACAAACAAGCATGCAGACCGTGCATCTCACCTTAAACCTTGAGCCTGAAACAAGGATCCTGCGAGGCAGTTGCATGATGATCTAATTGTTGCGTTCTTGCCAGCTGTTCGAGTTGATTTAATTGTTCCAGATTTGGTCATTGATTCAGAACATTTAAATCATGATTTAATTGTCGCCTCGGGGTCGGATAGTGTAGCAGAAAGAATTAAATCATGATTTAATTGTGCCGAGTAGGAGCAGGACAGGCGTGGAATGGAGCGTCGCGCAACGTTCAGGGCCAATTTAAATCATAAGTAAATTCTGCGGGCCTGAGGGGTCCAAGGCGGCCCGATGCCGGGCAATAAACTCGGGAGTTAATGGTTTTTAACTCTTGGATTCACTGCCTTCCCTGAGGCCCCGAAAGCCTGTCAACCCGAAAAATACACAAAGCCCGGAAGCCTTAAACCCCCTACAATAAACCCTCAACCCTAGACCTTAAACCAAATGACCTAAATCCTCAAACAGTTCAGGGCTTAGGCTTCTCTACCTTGCCCGAAATCTCAAGCCTGTAACCTAGACCCCCCATACCCTCTAATATGCCCTAAATGAGTGCCTACTATTCAGGACCATAACGGCTCCATTAAAGGGCCATTGGGGGGTGGTTCAACCACCCCTCAAAGCCCAACAAAAACCTTCTCCGAGGTCGTCAACTCCACGTTGCGTGGCAGTGAGCCTCGTCATTTGGCCTCCTGCGGCGTGGCAGGCGTGTGTTTTGACGACTGCGGGTGTCACAAAAACCTTTGGGTGGTTTGGATCACGGTTTCGGTTTTACATTTTAATCTTTCGCTTGAGAGGTTTCTCAGAAGCCAATTCCTGGAATCCTCAAGCCGGTTTGTTGAAACTTCTAAACTGCAGGACCTGTAGGACCCACGTAGCCTCTTTGGCCCGAAGCCGAAACCATCCGGGAGGCTTAAATGCAAATCCCCCACCGTAAGCCCTACCAGCCCCTGCGCGTGCACCTCGCACCCGAAATCCCAACAGCCTTTAACCATGCCATTCCCCAGTATATCCCCCGTCGCTTGATAGAGCCTCTCCTAGAAACACCAGAAGATCACCTGAATAGAAGCCCGAATAGAATCCTCCTGGTGCAGAGCTCCATTGCAGGAACCCAAAAGGGAGTTTCCAAAAATAGGGGATTGGGCACTTCTTTCTATTGCCACCTTAAGGGTTTTGGTTTAGGTAAGGGTTAAGCTTGGGTCAGGGTTTCTGATTCTATAAGGCTTCAGGGCTTTCAATTATTCGGGCCTATGAGGGTTTAGGCCCTTTAGGGTCTTGGTGTCCCGATTTGGGGCTCTAAACCCTAAACCCTAAACCCTAAAAACCCTAAACCCTAAACCCTAAAGTTAAGGGCTTTTTTGATGGATCCTCCTTGGACACCTTTCCAATTTGCGTTTTGGGAGTTTCCGAAAATTAGGGGTACCTTATTTTGGGGGTCCTTATAATAAGGATCTTACTATTTAGGGTACTATATCAGGGTCCCCAAAGTCTTACAGAAACCCTGATAGTTCGCCACAGGAATCCATAAAGAGCCCTGTTAGCAACAAACCGATCCCGTATAGGAGGCCCCAAACCCCACAAACCCTAAGCCCGCGAAGGAACCCTTAAATAAAGCCCTGAACCCCACTGTCCAATTTCCTTTGTACTATATACTCTCCGAAGTACTAAGCTACATAACTATTATCCTCAAACCGAATACCTATTTGTCGAGTCCTTTGGACCCTCAAATAAAACCTTTGTGTAAAAAACCCACCAGTCTCTATAGATCTTTTATTGGAAGCCTTCTAGAACCCGGTCCTTTGGATCTATAATCCCCATGAAACCCCAATATACTCGAAGCAAAGGTTGATTCACCTTTAGTTCCCCTGGGTTCTGGACCAGTAGGAGGAGCCCTTACCAAACCCTAAACCCTTAACCCCTAAACCCTAACCCCTAAGCCCTAAAAACCCTAAGCCCCTAAAGCCCTAGACCCCTAGACCCCTAAACCCTAAACCCCTAAAGCCTTAAACCCCTAAACCCTGAACCCTAGGGAGCCCCTTGCCGGGGGCGCCAAGCGATCTCCCCTTGAAGCGGCGAGGAAGAGTCGACTGTGGCGTCTGCAAATGCACCGACCCGGCCCGGCATTTTTTGGGTTTTTTTCGGGATTAGGGCCCACCCATAGGCCCCATCGTAGTATTTAGACTCCTATAAGGTAATCCCAAAACGGAACTACAATGGGGCCTATGGGCAAAGTTTGGGTGTTATCGAGGTTTGCGCTTCTAAGTTAAAACTTATGGTGTAAACAGGGTTGCAGGTCCTCTAAACTCTTCTCTTTAAGGGGCCAGGTCCCTGAAAGTAAGGGTTCTATAAACAAGGGCCTATACGGGGCCAGGCTTCGCTGTCAATGGGGTGAAAATATAGGAATACAGGTTCTATGGAGTTTAGGTTTAGGGTTTTGGGTTTTGGGTTTAGGGTTTAGGGTTTAGGGTTTAGGGAATTGCTTTATCCCAGATATTCGGTGTTTTACGACAAGGCCAACATCCTTGGACCCCAACCACCTGACTCTCAGCGACCCGAAAAGCACCCCCTAAACTTGTGGAAGCCGACAAGGGCCATACAAAGAAATTAACTCCCATGGAGTTACTTCAAAAACCTTCTCAACAACAACGCAACGGCGGAAGCCCCCTGAAGCCATACTCCAGGTGCTATGCTGCATAAACCCTGAACCCCGCCCGTGTAAAGTCCGCAAAAACTCTACAGGACCCTTCAAGCGCCAATTCATAAGCACCAATAAAGCCTACAATAGCAGACAAGCCGACAAGAATGAACATACAACGCGCTGATAAAATAAAGTGCCCAGGCATTCCCGTCTATGGAACGTGAAGCATCGTTTAGTCTTTAAGTATTCAGACTTTCCAAAATCCCTTAATTCAGGAATATACCTTATTTCATATTTGGGATCCTATTATATTCCTTAATTAAGGAATTTTGGAAGGTCTGGGTATTCAGAAGCAGCACGACAACCTATGACTGAACCTTTACAACCTTTTAACTATACCACTCTATAGCACCCCTGTATAGAACCCTTTGCAAGCGCCAATCTTCACCATTTCTCAGAATCGCCCTGAACCCGAAAACCTGAACCCTGCGCCCTAAGCCCTGAGCCCTAAACCTTACTTGGAGGATCATGGGACTTAGTAAGTAAGGTTATAAGTACCTTAATTGGGGTTATAAGTATAGTTACCCTAATTATAACCCTAGTTACTAAGTCCCATGATCCTTTAAGTAAACCCAAACTAAAATTGGGCCGAAACCCTATAAACCCTATGAACCCTGTGGACCATATAGACCCTGTAAACCCTATACACCCCAAAACACCCCAAACCCCCTATAAACCGCAGAAGCCCTCTAAACCCCATTGTAATAACCCCTATAATCCCTATACACCCTTTATATAAACCCTACATACCCGAAGCAATAGCGTGAGAGGTCGCCTGCTCCTGGTGCGATGGCAACGGGGGCCCTGCGCGCATCACCGGCGGCTCAGGTTCCCCTTTAAGGGCTCCTTGAAGGGTTCGCGTAGGGGTTCTTTTAGGGGTTCCTTTGACGGGCTCCTCGGTTCCGTTAAGGGTTCCTTTAAGAGAGGGCTAAACCTGAGCAGTCATATTGACTGGTTTTTTGGGTTTAGGGTTTAAGAATCGTGGGGTTTATAGGATTTAGGGTTTAGGGTTTGGGTGTTTCTCGGGTTTAGGGTGTAGTTTAGGGTTTAGGGTTCGGTTGAGTGTTTAGTTGAGGTTTAGGGTAAAGCATCCTAAACCCCAACTCCTCTTGAATTAAACCTCTGCAAGTCCCTCCATCGTTAAAGTTTAGGAGGGGCCCCTACCCTGTTATCGTGACTATAAGGACTATATTAGGGCCCTGCTATATTCCTATTAAACCACTACTACAGGGTGGGGGCCCCTTCTAAGTTATAGTTGAATCTGAGTAGAACATCCAAACCCGAAACCGTGCAAGCCCTAGATCCTAAACCCTTCTTGAACGCTCTTAATAGGATTACAGAAGAGGAGGCTGTAGGGCCTACATTTTGGCAACCCACTGATATACGGCTCCGTGAGGGACGTGTCGAGTCTATGTGGCCTACCCCAAGATTTGGCTTGATAAAGTACAGATCATACGGTATTTACGGTGTCTCCTGCCTGTGATAGTTGTTGTGGAAAGAACTTTGAATGCGTAGCCGCTCAATACCGCGGTGCCGTACCCGTTGACGTCTGACTATACACAGGCTAAACCTGTCCTGGAATACATGACTCAGGAATAGAAGTGTACGGTACTTTGTCGTGTCATGCTGCGGGTACCTTTCAAGTGATTCAAGGTTTTGAAGTTGATAGAATGTAAATATGATACCAAAGTTGTTTCGCAAAAACTCAGGCCCCACAACAACCTGCTCTCCAGGATTAAGTATTGCGACTTGGGAAAGTTTCCCTCGCAGCAGTACCTAGCACCCTTTGGGATTGCCCGAGTACAGCCAGTAGGAGCTAGGATGTGCGCTCACGTGGCTGGCTTGGCATCTTCTGGTGTTGCTGCACTCCGCGCATTTGCGGATGTTTGTATCTGCACCCGGAGGCACGAAACGCAAGTTTGAAACTTAAGCCGTCCTACCTGCCCGCCTACCTGCCTACTTGCCTGCCTACCTACCTGCATAGATACATGCGTACAGACATACATACAATCACTTCGGGCTTTGGGAGTTTAGGGTTTAGTTTAGGCTTCAGGGCTTTAGGGTGTTAGCGCTCTCGGGCTTTATGGCTATGGGCTTAGGGGCTTAGGGTTTAGGGCTTCAGGGTTTAGGTTTATAAGGATTCCATAAAGGGTTGTAACAGGGGTTTTTTGGAGGATTCAGCTAAGTAGAGGGCGGACAACCCTGGTTATTCAGTCGCAACATTCCTTAAGATTCCCGAATAGACATTGGGGGAGGTATAAACACCCCGAGAACCACCGTCTGTGAAAAAGGCTTCTATGCACTCTATACTACTACAGGCCTCATAGGGCTCTATGTTCATAGAAGTTGAATTCCCAAACCCAAACTTGGCCAGGTACCCAGGGGGGTCAAGTACCAAACCATCCAAAACCCTGAACACCCCTGCTCCTTTTTGCTGTCCGTGGCTGTATGCTGCTCAAACCAGAGGCAGGACGCGTCTTACAGCTAGGTTCTTCTGGCGTCGCAAGTGCGACTTTGTCGAGCGCCCCTTCCGCTCTCCGGCGAAGCACCATGGCATCGTCCACCTGGTCCCTGCGGGATGTTCTGGCAGTGATCTTCATCTTTGTGTGCTTTTGCTTTGCATGGTTGGTCTCCATGGGCCGGGAAGCTCAAAAGTAGGGTGGCTTGGGTCAAGCTCGGTTTCGAAAACCACTGACACTGCCAGTAACAATACTGATGCTAGTAGTAGCAGTATGCAGAATAATATTCTGCCTACTAGTATTACAAGCATCATATCACAAAACTTATAGTTTTACTAGTAATTACTTATATTCACCCGGACGGAAGGATGTAGATGCATCCTCCCACTCTGAGTCCTGAAGGGTTCGAGGGTTGGGCCTCCGAAACGGGAAAGCAAGCTTGACCATAATATAGTATATTATTGTTCAATATGGCAATAGTATAGTAATCATACAATATCAGATGGTATCATGAGTTCAGAAAAAATAATCGCCCTAACAACAGGAGCTGGAAAGCTTCAGCTTCCCAGCTTGCACCCGTTCACGTTGGAGCTGTTCTAAAGCTGCGTCTAGTAAGGTTCAGGGTTTGGATGAGTTGAGTTCCCTTGCAGAGTACCACAATGGTCGAGTTCTTTCCTAGGTATAGCTTCGACGTCATGTGTAGCAACTGCCACTTTGCTTTTCGTCACTGCCGTGGCAGGGCAGAACCTGTTTCTCTTGCACTTTCCGGACCGAGAATACGCACAGCAGAAGCTGGTGGACGCGGTGGGCTTTCTAAAATCTTCGGTTTGTGGTGAATCATAACTTGGACCCCGGAGCCAAAACCCTATAAACAATGGAGCCGAAAATAGAAGCCCCAGAGCCCTAGAGCGGTGCGCCGCAAACTCCTCTCTATCGGAAGGTCGGAAGGCCCGCAATCTGTTACTTCCGACACCACATACTCGAAGTTGACATCGGATACCCCAGATCCTAAGCAGCTTCGAACCACAACCGTAAATCTCAGGCCCGTAACTCAACAAGCTTGCAAAAGCTTGCCCCGCAAGCCCGAACACTGGAACCCTAAACCCGACAGCCTGAATCTCGAAACCATGAGATATGTTTTGTTGACCTTCTCCCACATCCCTCACTTCCGAGCATGAGCTCAGAAACACGGCTTAGACTGAAGTACTACTCAGCAGAATCCGAAAACCATCCCTGCGGCTCCAAGTACCCATCCTATATAGGGACTACTTTGGAGCTTAAGTATCTACTGATAAAGGTACATGGAGCCTTTGGGCATCTTGTGCAGCTTCAGGGGTTCGGATCTGGGCCTTCACTTTGGCTTCAGGGTACAGGGTTCAGGATCTAAAGTAAAAGCCAGAAAGTTGGAATATGATTATCCTAAACCCTTTATGGTAAATTATAAAGTATCCTACCATGAAACCATATTCCAACTGTCTGGAGTTCCCCATACGTGCTTAGGGTCATATCGTCGGATTTCGGGCTCCTGACTAAGAAGCCTTGGGTTTGTATTAGGGTTCGACCTTATATGAATCCGACTAGGTTTAGGGTTTAGGGTTTATCATAGGGATCCTTAGGGGTGTAGGGGGGAGGGGTGTAGGGGACTATATTTCCTTAAATAGGCCTTATTAGTCCTTATTATGGGCCTTAAGGCCCCCTACCCCCCCTCCCCCTACACCCCTAAGGATCCCTATGAGTTTAGGAAGCCTTGCGGTCTGTATTAGGATTCCTTATATGGGGGTTTCCGAAAACAGGGGACCCTAAGATAGAACCCTAAATAGTAGGATCCTTATTGTAAGGACGCCACGATATGGTACCCCTAATTGTCGGAAACTCCCATATGAATCCGACTATATTGGGGGGTTATAGGACCAGGGTTTCTTAATCAGGTTCCTACATTAGGCGGTTCCCTGCCAGCGCGGCCCTCTTGATGACACCTTCCTCGGCGATGTGCAGCGCTCTTACTGGGGCCCGCGACTTGTTCTAGGTTTCTCAACGATTTCTGTGGTGTTGTATACGTGTTGATAAGGGCTAAAGAAGGTTTCTGGCGCTTCGTGGCTTGGGGCTTGGGTTTATCGGGTTTGGGATTTATACGGTTTAGGGGTTTAGGGTTCAGGGTTTAGAATTTGGCGTGTAGGGTTCAGGGTTTCGGGGTTTAGAGTTTAGGGTGGACCTCCAGTGGATAGCCAGATCACGCAAGGCGCTGGTTGTGGTTTGCTCCGCATGTCTTCTCGTCGATCGTCTGGTGGAACTTCGCTTGGATCCAACTCATCAAGTACATCCGTGCCAATCATCTCTGGCTGCACCGCTTGAATGGGAGAGTTCAGGCCGGGGCACTCTTGAATATATGGGGCCTCCAGAAGTAGACTTGCCGGATAACAATATACGCACCATGTAATGCAAGGGAGGTCACGAAGCTTTCCCATTCTACCCGGCAATAAACCCAATCGGCAATAAACCATCAGTCCTCACCCCAAGCTTTGTTTCCTAAACGCCAACCCCAAGTATAAAACTTCGCAAGGAACTCAAAACTGCGCTTGTAGGCAGTGCCAAACCTCTTTGGGTACAGAAAACGCCCAAAGTGACCAAGACCCCACTTATCAATTCAAAAGCCAGCCCCTGCAAGCCAAACCATAACCTTTCTAATCAAGGAATCTCTCGTAGATTTGGATAGGAAGCTTCCTCTACATAAGTTCCTGAACAGTTATATTCGGGTTTGCGGCTATCGGCTTTGGGGTGCACAGGTTTAGGTTAAGGCTTCCCCCCAACCTGAAACTCTAACGTACCAAACCACAACTCTGTGGAATCTAATGCGAGCCTGCTCAAAAGCAAGCTTTGGTAGTTGTAAGAAGGTAGATTGTAACATACGCCCAGAACCCTGGTCTAATTAGCCGCATATTCCCCCCCCCCCCCCCCACCCCCCCGCAATTTTTCGAGGTCACGGGTGGAATCTATAGCGAGCTGCTCAAAAGCAAGCTTTGGTTGTTGTAAGAAGGTAGATTGTAACATACGCCCAGAACCCTGGTCTAATTAGCCGCATATTCCCCCCCCCCCCCCCCCCCCCCACCCCCCGCAATTTTTCGAGGTCACGGCCATGATGGGCCAGATCATTACAGGACTCGGCCTGGCTAGCGGCTCCCCAACGCACGGGGTGAAGATGTTGAGCATCCGAGCACAAGAAGAGTGAGAAGGGTTCAATCAGAGCTCCAACGGGCTGCAGGTTTGGGGCTTCTTTGCCCTTTAAATTTGGCAATGCTTGTTGAAAGTTGAAAGCGGGAGTGTCGTAAAGATGATGAATCTGGTAGGACCTGGTAGGATTAGTGGTCGCCC